TTTATTAATTTAAAAACGAAAATTTTTTGTCTTAATTTTTGGGACGTTACAGTACTAATAGAATGGTATTCAAGCAAATATAATAACTAAGATGGCCACAAAGCCATTTTTGCAAGGTATTATGCAAAATGACCATCACAAACCTACAAAAAATGGGATTTTTTCTATAAATAAACTATACATCCTAGTGCATAAATATCAATCGTATGCTAGTTTACAATTAGAAGAGCGTTCAAACAAAAAATAACTAAAATAGCTAAAAGGTTGTTTTCAATGCCAAAATGATTTCGTATTGTAGGCTGAGAATGGTCAAAAACATAAAAATGATCTCTATATTGTAACAAACAATGTACACACCAAAAAAACCTTACTCAAATTAGCCGATTATCCTTTGGTCATGTCGATTTATTTATTTATTTATTTATTTATTGGAAATGACAAATGAAATATAACACATTGGGTTTAAAAAAGAATACAAACTAGTGTAGGTGCCCATGCTTTGCATGGGTTGGATGTGAATTACTAAGCAAAATCATACAATGCAATTTTAATGCAAAAAAAAATGAAAACTATAATCAGCAAGAATCCAATAAGATTAAAAGGCAAAAGCCAAAAAAATTGGTCCCTTAAAAATGATATATTTTAATTTTCAACAATATTTTTATACAAAAACCTAATTGTTGGAAGAAATACATCACTTGAGAACATATGTAGAAGTCAATCACCATCTCATACTCTGATTCAAGAAACTTTACCTTCCTGTCCATTTATGTTATTCCCTCCTGAAATCAATCATCAATCAATAATTCAAATTATATTAACAAACTCAAACATCTTGATTGAGCCAAATAAATAGCAGCATCCTTATCAAAATCAAGCTTAAGTCAAAAGAAAGTTTACATTTCAAAATTCCAGTGTTTTAAAAAGTCCTAAAATGAAAGTAGGATGTTGTAATTGCTTGTGTTTGAAATTGAAAGTATGCTTCTTTAAAAAGAACAATGATAAATAAGAAAGTGATTAAAATGGAGATATGATGTCGGTAGAAAATATCATCCTCTTTAATTTGTGGATGCTTTTACCAGATTTTGTAATAATTGAACAAATTCAAGCATGCGTGTACATAAGATACACAACAATATTTCCTTGTTCAGTAAAGAATGTGAGTAGGGTAAGAAAGAATAATAGTGTTACAATGTAAAAAAGGAAATGGAATGAGTTATTAGTTATCATATTTCATAATCATGTTTGCTTCGTTAAAAACGTAGTTATATTGCCATACAACTCATTAAACCTTTACCAAATTCCATTAAAATAAGCAAAGAGAAATTTCAGCTTCATATTAAAAGGTGTAAGAATGTTAAAATTACAGGTTTGTAATAAAATCTACAAAAGAAAAAGAAATACCTTTTTAAAAGCATTTGAAATCCTAACAGGCATCACTAAATCCTCCTTATCAACTTTTTTTTTTTTTTTTCATAATTCACCTTTTTTAAAAGCAATAACCATGTAAATCAATAACAAACATCAATTTTCCTCTTAAATAGATAACATTTCAATTACTCAATATATTAGGACACATATAGCAACTTTCAGTAACTTTTAGCAATAAGGGTAAAAGATCATGAGTCGTATATCAGGAGTTTAGAACCTTACATGTGCAAATCGTTTACCATCTTTAGCCACATCTAAATTGAAAACCTTAGATCAAAACCACACAACAATATCAGTCCCGTATTAAAGTGTACAAAATAGATTTAAACAATCATCCCATAAGTAAAAAAAAAACATTACTTTAACAAATAACAGGCAGTATAAATGTGCAATTTTCATTTGATCTTTGAGTTGTACTTTAGTTGTAAGGTCTTCTATAACTTCAAAAAATCTCATTACACAACACATATGTCATGCATTTCATCAAACAGTTACCGTGCATAACAACAAAACTGATACCTGTAAATTATTGGGTGTAGTAGGGAAGCTATGTCATTGTTGTGTTCGAACCGAACCAGAAGCATCAGGACGAAACTGATCCCCTTGTAATTGTTGTGTATGAGCTGAACCAATTCAAATGTTCCATTGCAAAATTGTATGGTAACATTCTTTACTGATAAAAGAACGCACAAACCTGCATTGTCTTTGTCATCAGTTGATGATGATTTTACAAAGGCAAATGAAAAAAAAATGAATGAAGCAATAGGAACCAAAGTCGATCGGGGTATGCACCAGAAATCGCTAAGAGGTATCAACGATTGAGGAGTAAGCGGAAAACCTTATTTAACCTCAAATTAATCGGTTTGTACTGGAAAAATGCAGAGATCGTGAGAGAGCTGTAGTTAACCTGACAGCCGAAATCGAAGAACACACGTTGTACTCAGGTTCGCTTTCTTTCTGTGCCTTTTTCATCCCGATTGTTTAGAGATAGAGACGGTAATCTGGAATATCACTTTTGTGGGTTCATCGTCTTACTGAGGAATTCCGAAGTTGCTAATGGAACTACCAGTCCAGTGCGATCGGGGGGAATTATTCATACGTCATCATCGGAGGGGCGAGGTGGAAATCGGTCGATGGGTCGTAGATTCTCAAACGATTTGCAGAGGTAATCGGCCTCTATGCAGGGCAATGGGAAAGGTGAAACTAAAATACATACGACGGAGGAAGATGAAAGGAATAAAGCGGTGAGAAAAGGTCTGTGTGGCGATGAGAATTTAGGGATGTCAAAAACCCCCGTGGAACCCCGCTCCCGTGGGACCCCGATCCCGTATGGGACTAAATTTTTAAAAAAACCGGGAGCGGGAGTGGGAGCGGGGGCAAAATTAAACCCCGCTTATTTTCGGGACCGGGAGCGGGAGTTGGTATTCCCGTCCCGTACTCCCGCGGGGCCCCGGTTGTACATTTATGTAAAAAATATATATTTAATATAAAATACATATACAAAATAGACTTTCTAATTTTGAGTGTAGGTTAGGTTTCACTTTCCCGTTTTCAATTAATAGATATTGAAGAGGTAGTGAATTGATCATATATTTTTGGATATGTAAGTATTTTATATTTGTAATATTGGATTTGTCATATTTTATATTTTTAAGATTGATGGAATTGTCGTTTTGTAATATTGAATTCGTAATGTTGAATTTTTAATTGTTTAGTTTCTAAAAGATTATGTTTTAAACTTTTAAAGTTATTAAAAACAAGCTTTTAGCCTAACACAAAGTAGTCGTTTAGCAAAAAAAACGAATTTTAAGCGGGGGAACCGGGGGAGCGGGGGCGGGACCGGGGGTGATGGAGGTAACCGGGAGCGGGACCGGGGGCTATGTAAACGGGGAGCCGGGGGCGGGACCGGGAGCGGGGGCAACAATTGATTTCGGGGGCGGGAGCGGGGGCAGCTATTCCCGCTCCCGTTTGGTCCCGTTGACATCCCTAGATGGGATTGTGAGAAGAAACCGGAAGAATCGTTGCCCATTTTGTACTTTAAGCCGGAAACCAAACATAAAAACAAAAGCAGCCGGTAAAAAAATGAGCCAGCCAATAAATAGATAAAAACCAGACCAAAATTTTTATCGTGGTTAAAAAGACACTGTTCATAAGAACATTGAGATTTAATTGTATATATAATTAATGCGGAAAAATCAATTTCTATTCTTGTAAAGTAACTCTTTGTTGTAAAATTAATTGAGCATGAGTACCATTTTTGGGCCATTAAAGCCCATTGGGTTTAGTTTTGAAAATTTGAGGATTTAGAAGAAAAAGTGTCTTTACAAAGAAATCGATTCGAGGCAATGATTCACAGGGTAGTTCGTAAAATGGATCTTTATGCTTCACTTATTGGCAAGTTTGGGCAGTTTGTATGCTTCTCGATTTGTTGTTGATTCGCTGCCCTAACTGCCATGGTTCTCACTAAAGCTAAAGATCTCTTCCCTAATTGCTGCTTTCCTCATTAACATCGTTTTAGAACTTTACATTTCCGTGGAGCCTGCTTTTGACGATGTAATCGTTAATTTGTACTCTGTTTTATGTTTATGCAAAACTGTAGTTTATGGAAGGAGAACTTAACAGATGTGTTTATGCAAAACTGTAATTTGTACTCTGTTTTATGTTTATGCAAAACTGTAGTTAATTGGTGTTTGTACTCTGTTTTATGCTTCCTGGATCCTTTATGTTATTGGCACTGTAGGTTGATCACTGTTGCTCATTTTTGCATCAAGACGCCTTAAGATTGCAAATTAATGATGCTCCCTCAATCCCTTGCTGCCCATCTTGTAGTAATAATATATACTAGTTATGTGAGAATCATATATTCGATCAGCAGATGTGTTTATGCAACTAAACAGTTGGCCCATATGAACTCGTATCTTTTTTAAAATATGAAGCAACGTGAGGTAGATCAAGGTCCTAGTAATACTCATAGATAAAATTGTAAACCTTTAATATATATATATATATATATATATATATATATATATATATATATATATATATATATATATATATATATATATATATATATATATATATATATATCCATGTATCTGGTAGATTTAATCACAGTGTTCATAGAGCTATATGAAGTGCAAAATTTCACTCGGAATCTGAATTTCTTTATTTTATCTCCTGATTTGTTACTTCACAATCATAACTTAATAGACTCCACTAAACACCATATCTGCTAAAAACCTAAAGCAATATTCCTACTTAATTGTATTCTTAGTGAACATGTTTTGTTAAAAATAATGGCTGGCTCTGGAAAAGATATATTGAAAAGGTTCTGAAGACCAACCATGATCTTAATTCCACAACCTCAGCCCTGCAGTTATAGTTTAAGGAGGATGTTGATTTATCAGCAATAATTGATGGAAGTCCCCATTGTAAATATACAAAATAAGCAAGAACATAACAGAAAAGGAAGCAAAAGCATCATCATGCATATATCAAATGACTTACTAATACATTCGAAAGCAGTTTTGCATTTATTCTATCACACATTCTTAATTAAAGAGAAACTATTAATGGAAGGGCATGGAGAACCAGCTGACTGAATCATAAAGGAAGTAATAACATGTAAACATACAGTCTTCAACCAAGTCTAGCCACCATTTGCGCCAATAAGGATTGATGTAAAGAAGCGCAACAAAGCCCAATAAGAACACAACATTCGTCGAACCAGAACTTCCGTAGAAGTATGCCATATCGATATCATACCATTTCTCATTGTCTTCTTCTACATCCGATGGATTGGTCAGCTGTGAATTAGTAGTTGTGCATTTCTTCACGAGTGGTGGTCCACAAAGAAGTGGATTCCCTTCATAGCTTGCCTCTGTGAAGGTACCAAACTGTGCTTTCATATCTGGGAGTCTGCCTGAGAGATTGTTGTGAGAAACAATGAAAGTAGATAGCGAGGTAAGCTTAATCAGTTCTGATGGAACATTTCCGGTCAAACCATTTGAAGAAAGGTCCAAGCTCTCTATTTTTGCAAGATTTGAGAAGTTCACAGGAATGGGTCCAGTCAGGTGATTGTGAGACAGGTTTAAAGCACGAAGTTGGGTTAAGAATCCCCGTTGTTGTGGGATTTCACCTGTAAGTTTGTTACAGGAAAAATCCAATCCTGCCATGTAATCAAGTATGCCACCCTTATAGCTGAGAAAGAGCCTTTTTGTTGTAAACTCAACTTCGTCTTGTGTTTCAAACCCTTGGTTATTGACATAGGCAGGCTGCCACCTCTGTAGAACACTATTATAATAGTAAGAGGAAGACATGGGATACCATGATATGGTTCTTTTAAGGAATGCAAGGTAACTTGGCTCGGTTATATTTTTTAGGCAGTTAGGTATTGAACCAGAAAGGGAGTTGTCGGATAAATCCATCAAACTTACATTATATAATTGGCACAAGTGTTTTGGAATAGAACCATGAAACTTATTTTTTCTCATGAGAAGAATCCTTAAATTGGATAGTTCACCAAGGAATTTAGGAATCCTTCCAGACAAGTCATTGTTACTGATGTCTAAAGTCAAAACATTAGTCAAATTATAAAAGGAATTGGGTATTGATCCAGTAAATCTGTTAGAACCCAAATGAAGATGCTTCACATATTGCAAGTTTAAGCAAGATGGGATTGGACCAGAAAAAGAATTTTGTGAGATATCAAGAAAAGTGAACAAAGTTGGTCCACAAGGAAACCTGCCTTCCAAACTGTTATTTCTCACCACAAGTTCAGACAACTCACTTGTGTTGCTTATCCATCCAGGGATCATACCAGTAAAAAAGTTGTTGCTAATATCTAAAATCATCAGATCATTATATTTTCTGGGCTCATTTGCAATTTTACCTGTGAAACAGTTGCTATCCAAGTGGAGCTCTTGGATTTTACCTAAATTTAAGTTTCCTGAGAGTACCTGACCCTGCAACTTGTTCTTTGATAGTTTTAAGAAAAACAACTCAGATATGTTTGTAAACAATCCCTTTGGTACTTCTCCAGATAATTCATTATTAGATAAATCCAGTACTCGTAAATCCCTCAAATCACCAAGTGAAGATGGGATAGCACCACTTAAAGAATTCCTGGACAAATTCAAATGTTGGATGTGGGGAAAGAATTTTTGCATAACATCAGGAATAGTACCTATCATTCCATTTCCAGACATATCCAATTCCAGCATATTAGCATTCCTATGCAGCAGCATACCAGTAAAGGAGTTGTTCCTTAGATTAAGAACTTCAAGATTTGTATTATTTTCAATCAGCTAATTTGGAAATTTTCCCTCCAAGTGGTTGTGAGATATGTCTACTTCTTGTAACTGGTGCTGGTGTAGTAAAAACCCTGGAAGAACACGCCCTTTATTCCTATTCATATTGCAACTAGATAGCATTACAACTTTCAACTGGAACATTGGAATCCAGCCTATAGGCTCTTCTGTTTCCACCTCAAATTTGTCATTGTTGCTTAAAAAGCGAATTACCTCAAGCTTTGAATGATTGGATAACGAGTTGAATGAGAATAAACCTTCAAATGTGTTATGACTAAAATCAATGTACTCGAGAGATGTGAGATTAGCAATGAATGATGGCACAAGTTTCCCTGTGAATTGATTTGAAGAAATATCAAACAACTTAAGAGATGATAGATTTTTCAAACACTCAGGCAGAGTTCCATGGAGCATGTTGCCACTAAGATCCAACTCATGGAGGTTCTTCAACTCACACAACCCTGTCAAAAGAGAAAGAATGTGGTTTATGACGCCCCTTAACATATATAACAACTTGCACTTGTATGGTCATACGGCACAAGAACGCTTAACTATGTGAAAAAGGAAATGTTACATAAGGCTTGCTCCAATTTATAAGCCATACTATAAAAACATTGCATGTATAAATTTGACCTAACCAATCCCAAACACAATAATCATGCATGTTTTGAATAACTTACCATGATCTGGTAATGAGCCATTAAGATAATTGTATGCGAATGAGACAACTCTTAGAGAAGATAATGCATGCATAGCTGATGTTACACTCCCAACAAAATGGTTCCAACTCAAATCTAAGACCTTGAGTTGGTGGAAAGATGTGAAAGCTAGATGGCAACAAGAGAAGATTAGATAAGTAGGTTACTAATTAAATAAAAACCATGAAAAAGGATTTGTTACAAGCCATGTATCATATAATTGATGATTGAAGTTGGATAGGCTGTAGGGCCTTTCATCTCTCTGATGATTCTTAATTAAACCAATAAGGAATGATTCTTAAAGAAAAAAAAGCCTACCTTCCACCGGTAGTGTTCCACCAAAACCATTTTCTCTCAAGAGGGCGACTTCCAAATTAGGCAAATCATGAAATTCTATATTGGATAAAGAGACGTGTCAAACAATTTTATAAACAGTTAGCAAATATGGATATTAATAAATAATTGTGAGGATCAAATTTTGTAATTTTAATTTGTTTGATGAGCATGAATCATTTAAAAATTAACATGCCTTGGATGGGAAATGAGCTTTCCAATGGAAAAGAATGTGAAAGATCAAGAATCTTGAGGGATGGGAGGGCTCTTAGGCATGATACGATGCTTTTGTTGAAATTGTTATTGGAGAGATTTATACTCTCCAACCTTTTCAATCTCGATAACATCTTACACGCTGTAGAAAAAAAATATTTGAATGCTACTGAAACCATGGTGATCTTATACTCTTACATAATTTTAATTATGGAAGAATTTAGGATTAATTGGTGTTTAAGAACTTTATCAGGGTTAGGGCTAGGAGAAGCCAATTCTTCATTTACCTTGGATATCTGGTGTGCCATTGAGCTGGGTGAAACTTAAATCCAACTTCTCCAAGTTAGTGAGATGAGCTAATTCTATCATATACAAAAGAAAAACATAAAACACATATTATGCACATATGCTCATTAGACTTCTCACATCCTTGTAAGTTGTAAGTAAGAAGCCTTATTCAATGTGTACAAGGACACATGCTAGATTATAATAGTACTTTATAGTCATATATAGCATGTACCTTGAGCTGGAAATGGTCCTAAAAAAGGGTTGTTGCTAAGATCCAAGTTTTTCAGTGTATTCAAAGATGTTGCAGCGCTTCCATTACATCTGTTGTACCCAGGATTTAATGATTTCAACTTCTTTAATATTGAAACGCCTACACTTAGAAATTGAAGCAGTCGAATTTATCAGCTTTAGTTTGATATGACAAGTTAGTTTATCAGCGATGAAAGGTACCATTAAAGTTACAGTTGCTTAGATCCAACACCTCCAGGTTTTCTAAAGCTGCAAATTCTGAAACTCATGTAAAAAGGGTGTAACTATCTTTAAAATATGCATTTGTGCATGATAACTTAAAAACAGAGAAAAGGTGAAAGCATACCACTGATAGGAAAGTTTTTGTTGAAGGTCATCACTAGCCCAATAGAATCATGTTATTGTCTAGAAGAAGTTAGCATGTTCTAGAATGATTTGGAAGATTCTAGAAGATTATGGAATACGATGGAGGAGTGTTGAAGATGCCGGAAGATTCTAGAATACTCTAGAACGAGATGGAAGACCCTGGAAGGCTATGGAACATTCTAGAACACTATGGAAGACACAAGAATGTCTATACTTATCTAGGACATTATAGAACATTCTAGAAACATATAAAAGCTTGTAATAGATATAGAATATGGTAGATAGTTCTAGAATAGCCATGAATGTATGTAGATCTAGAAACTTCTTATAAGGAGGTGGAAACACCTATAAATAGGTGTGGAGCTCATTTGCTCCAAACAATCCAACATCCAAACCATCCAAGAAAGCCTCAAAGAGAGAAAAGTGTGTAGTAGTCTCACAAAGTGTAAGTTCTCCTTAAGTGTCTTAATAAAAGTCTTGTTGTTTCCCACACTAAGAGTCGTGTTCAACAGTTTCCATTCAAGCTAGTGAAGCTAAGATCCAAGATTTTGAGTGAAGTGAGTGTCATCAATGATGGAAGGATGTCATTATCAATATCATAATTGAAACTTAGGTCTAGTTCCTCCAACTTCTTCAAACTCGACAACTTTTCTAGTCCTGCAAAAGAAAAAGAAGTTTTTAACGTAGGCATCCTAGTCTTTTGATGCAGGCTCAGGTGATAAATGATAACAGGTTATGGCATGAATTGCAGGATCTGAAGTACACATAAAGTCTTGTGTTATGTCTTTAATAGACAAAAATATCATCCTGTAAATTAGTTCGTAGGTTGAGTCCAAGAATTTAGATAGAGCCAATTTACTCAAATTTCTTGCTCAAAAAGGATGATATTGGAAAGAAATACTAAAGCATTTAATCACGTTGTACCTATCTTCATAATCTCCTTATCAAGAAAATCATCTGACAAATTCAGACTCCTCAACTCTTTAAAATGTAGAAACAAGGAAATATTCAATGGCCAAAACTTGCTCCAAAACTTTATGTTATCGTCTGTCCCTCTCAAATAGTACAAGGAAAGCTCTGTCACATGAGCGGTGGTTGTGTTGCAGGTGACCCTCTCCCAATCACAACAGTCGCCCCCACCATCCCCAGGGGTACTGTTGTCATAATCAACCCAGGTAGGGAGAAAATTGTCCATTTCGGAATCATATGACTTCATATGGGAGGCTTTGATTTCTAGAAGTGCCTTTCTCTCCTCTTCTATACAATCCCCTTTTGTTTGCCTGACGATAAGAATTTGTATACTCATCAACATCAAGGACCAATATAACCATGATTTACTCTTACTCAAACCCCAACACTTCATTTTAGTTGCTACAGTAACAATGATGGCTTCTTAGATATGTAATGAGACATGAGAAACAATTGATTTGCAATGAAATGAATATGAATTGCATAATTCTGTGCAAATCATCAAGTCAATGATTGCATAATTGATAATTCTCCGTAAGTCAGCAAGTCAAATGGTGATTCCCACGCATAAGTCTATTCTCCATGGTCACCTGCCCCTTTTGGATTTATGATACACTCCCATAAACTTATGGCATAACGACATCTTGTTGACTTTTTCAACAAACATTGAAGTTTCAATTTGCATAAAATATCTTTGTACTTTTAAATTCTTTTGAATTATATTTAACCACCGTGTATTTGTTGATTCATAAGAATTGTTAGAATGAATCTTATCAAATAATCGATGTAGGCCGGTTCGAATTTTATGAATTTTGTAGTGGTTCTGTAAATGAAAATGCTTCTCTAATCTCCGTTGTTTGTGGTACTATTACTATTAGGCAGTAAGCGCTGGAATAATCTGGAAAGTGTACATTCCGCATTGTTTGTGGTACTATTACTATTAGGCAGTGCATTAATTCATTCCCACTTTTAACAAATTACTGAAATGTTTGCAAAAAGTTCAGGTTTGATCGTTATCTTTTATTTTGCACACTAAGTTTTTTGTAAATCACATGTATCGTTTCAATAATTTATTCTTATAAAAATTTCATAATACCACAACTGGGTCGGACTTTTATTTGACATGCATGTCAACCCATACGCTTGTACCCAATGTCCTTATCTTATATATCAATGCATTTCATTAATTATAAATTACATCTTTTTGTCGATTTCATTCACACGCATATACAACTTTTAAAATTTTAATTGTTCAAATATCACTTATCATTATTTCAATCTATCTATTGATCTATGAATTAGTTATTTTTGTTTAATTCTGCTTTTAGTTATCGAAATAGCAAATAACAAAATATGATTAAAATTATACCATCTTCGAAAGTTGTTTTTTTTTTTTAAATAGAAAATGCATTGAAACCACACTCTAACTACATTATATAGAAATACTAAAGAGTTTAATCACGTTGGGTCAATCTTGTAGGAAAGAATGGTGTTGTTGAGCATTTCAGCTTTGAAGCAGAGCAGCTCATGTTCAATTCTTTTTTTTTTTTTGTTGACCATTTCAGCTTAGGAGAAAGAGAAAGAGATTACATGGTGTGATACATTGGGTTATCAACCCATAAACTCCATATCAAACCCCTACCCCATTTTGATCTATTCTTAATCCATAAAAACGCCATTGTTTTGACATCATGTTTAATGGATCATTAGTTTTGTTAGTGAAATGAGGAGTTGGCTGCACATGTTGACTCAACCAATGGTGATTACTTATCATAAAATACATGACAAGCAAAGTAATTTAAGTCATTTCGGTGCCATAGATCAATGTAAGTTTACTAAATTTAAGAAATACCATAAATCAATGTAAGTTTTGTAAATGCATCAACTTTGCAACGAACCATTAATTAGTCAAATTCTTTTGCATAAATGAGATGGGGAAATACACTTAACATGACTAGCCTTCTTATACATCGTCATACTTATATAAAAACAGACAAATACAAATACATACAAAAACAACTTTGCATTTATTCTATCATGCATTCTTAATGAGGTCATAAGCTTGGAAGATCATAGAGTAGGCTTTCTTACTAAATCATAAAGAAAGTAATAAAATGTAAACATACAATCTTCAACCCAATGTAGCCACCTTCTACACCAGTAAGGATTGATGTAAAGAAGGGCAACGAATCCCAATAACAACACACCCCATGTGGAACCAAAACTTACATAAAACCATGTCATATCGATAGCATACCATTTCTCATTGTCTTCTTCAGCTGATGAATTGGTCACCTGTGAATCAGTAGAGCATTTCTTCTCCAAAGGCAGTCCACAAAGAAGTGGATTCCCTTCATAGCTTGCCTCTGTGAAGGTAGCAAACTGTGTTTTCATTTCTGGGAGTCTGCCTGATAGATTGTTGTGAGAAACATTGAAAGTAGATAGGGATGTCAGCTTAATCAGTTCGGATGGAACTTTTCCAGTCAAACTGTTTGAAGAAAGGTCCAAGCTTTCTATCTTTGCAAGATTTGAGAAGTTCACTGGAATGGGCCCAGTCAGGTGATTGTGAGACAGGTTCAAAGCACGAATCTGGCTCAACAACCCAAGTTCTTGTGGAATTTCACCTGTAAGTTTGTTACTAGATTGATCCAATCCTGTCATGTAATCACGGATGTCACCCTTGTAGTGGAGAAAGAGCTTTTTTGTTGTGAACTGAACTTCATCTTGTGTTTCTAACTCTTCTATATGAAAGTATATATTATACGACCTTCGTATAGCACTCACATATTCATATGAAGAAAACATGTGATACAATGATACGCTTGTTTCTATGAAAGCAAGGTCACTTGGGCCAGTAATGTTTTGTAGGCAGCTGGGTATTGAACCAGAAAGAGAGTTATGGGATAAATCTATCAAACTCACATTACTTAATTGGCACAACTGCTTCGGAATAAACCCACTAAAGTTATTTTTTCTCAAAAGAAGAATCCTTAAAGTGGATAGTTCGCCAAGAAATTCAGGAATCATGCCTGACAAGTTATTATTGCCTATGTCCAAAGTCAAAACCTTAGTCAAATTACGGAAGTGATCAGGTATCCATCCTGTGAATCTATTGGAACCCAAATGAAGATGCTCCATAACTTGCAAATTTAAGCAGGATGGGATGGGCCCAGAGAAAGAATTTTGTGAGATATCCAGAAATGAGAATTGAGCTATTCCACAAGGAAACCGGCCTTCAAAACTATTATTTCTCATCAGAAGTTCAGACAAGTCACTCATGTTGCTTATCCAACCAGGAATCATACCTGTAAAGAAGTTATTGCTAATATCCAGAGCAGTAAGATATTCAGGAATTTCCTTGCCAATTTTCCCTGTGAAATATTTGTTATCTAAGTGAACCCTGTTGATGTTAAGCAAGCTTAAATTCCCTGAGAGTACCTCGCCATACAATTTGTTGTTTGATAGTTTCAAGATCATCAAACTAGACATGTTTGTAAACAATCCCTTTGGTACTTCTCCAGATAATTCATTATCAGACAAATCCAAAAGTGATAATTCGTTCAAATCACCAACTGAAGACGGGATAGCACCACTTAAAGCATTCATAGACAAATTTAAACGGACTATGTAGGGAGCAAACTTTTGTATATCGTTGGGAATTGTACCTATCATGTGATTTCCAGAAACATCTAACTCTTGCATATTAGTATTTCTATATGAAGATATACTAATAATGCCACCAAAGGAGTTGTTCCTTAGATTAAGAGCTTCCAAATTCGTATTATTTTTAATCAACCAATTTGGAAACAATCCTCTCAAGGAGTTGTGAGACATGTCTACTACCTGTAACTTGTGTTGGTGAAGTAGAAACATAGGAACCATGTGTCCTTTACGCCTGTTAATATTGCAATTAGATAGCTCAAGAAATTTCAACTGGAACATTGGAATCCAACCTATAGGCTCTTCAGTTTCCACCTCAAATTTGTCATTGTCGCTTCCAAATCGAACTACCTCAAGCTTTGGATGATTGGAGAAAGAGCTGAATGAGAATGAACCATCAAATTTGTTATGACTAAAATCGATGTACTCGAGAGATGTAAGATTAGCAATTAGTGATGGCACAAGTATCCCTGTGAATTGATTTGAAGATACATCCAACATCTTAAGAGATGATAGACTGTTGAAACATCGAGGCAGAATTCCATTGAGCTTGTTGTAACTAAGATGCTTGTTGTAACTAAGATCCAACTCCATAAGGTTCTTCAACCCACAGAACCCTACCAAAAAAATGGGTTCACTGTTTGAAAGTATGATGACTTTCACTCACTTATTAGCCACACTATAACACCATTACATTTATACATTTGTTTTAAATAATTCCAATACTTAAGCATGCATGATTTAGATAACTTACCATGATCCACTAATGAGCCGTTAAGATCATTGTACGCGAATGATACAGCTTTTAGGGATGATAAAGTGTGTATTGTTGATGGAATGCTCCCAACAAAATGATTGTAACTCAAATCCAAGACCTCAAGATGGTTGAACGATGAGAAAGCTAGATGACAACAAGAAATGGTTATATATGTGGTTACTAAACAAAAATCCTTAAAATTGTTTTGTTACAAGTCATTTATTATTAATGGTTGAAGCTGGTTTCATCTGTACCCTGATGAGTTGGTAGGTACTTGACCAAGTTTCTTTAACCAATAATAATGTTGTAAACTAAAGAATGATGAAAAAGCATTACCTTCCATTGGTATTGTTCCATTAAAACCATTTTTTCTCAAGAGTAGGACTTCCAGATCAGGCAAATTATGAAAATCTAGAGTAGTATGTCAAACAATTCAATATAACAATTAGCAAAAGGGTGCAAATAAATAAATGACAATGAAGATGAAATTTGGTATTTTAGTTTGTTCAATTATGACTCTTTAAGATAACATGCCTTCGGAAGGAAAGGAACTTCCCCATGAAAAAGAATGTGAAAGGTCAAGAATCTTGAGGGATGGGAGGGCACTTAAGCATGATATGATGCTCTTGTTGAAATTGTTATATGAAAGATCTATACTCTTCAGCCTTTTCAATCTCGACAAGCTCCTACAAGCTGTAACAAGAAAAAGAATTCTAAGAGAAAATGTGTTGTTATAATATTTGTAGTTATGGAATAATCTTATAAAAGCTGTAACAAGAATGATCTTTTGAAGTTTGAACTATTCACAAATTACTATAGCAAGGAGAAGCATATTCTTCGTTTACCTTGGATATTTGGTGTGCCATGGAGGCTGGTATCACTTAAATGCAACTCCTCTAGGTTAGTAAGATGTGCTAATTCTGTCATAGTCATACAAAAGAAAAACATAAATCTTGTCTTATGAAGGCTATTTCTAGATATAGTCTACAGCAAATTTTCACTAGTGTTTCTTCATCATCATCACTAGGTAGTGAATTTCATGTTATAATATGTGATTTACATATTTTAATATATGAGTTCGCAAACAAACATGTACATAGAATTCAAAAACTGTTTATCCTACATATAAAAGATCAAAATAATTACAACAATATGGCATCAAATTATGAAAATACCGATATTTTATTATAATTAGTTTCATTTAATACTAACTTTGTAAAGTTCACACTATCCAGTAAATATCCTATAAGAATCATTATATAGAATCTTAAGTAGCAAGGTAAAACTAAAACAAGGTAAATTTTGTAAGGGACAAACTGTTGCTGCTGAAAGCATGTGTACCTTGAGCTGGAAAAGATCGAGATATCCAATTAGCTTGAAGATCTAGTGTTTTAAGTGATGGAAGAACACTTAAGGATGCTATAATGCTGTCACTGAATCTATTATCCCTAAGATATAAAATCTCCAACTTTCTCAATATAGAAACCTTTTCAAAACCTGCATTTAGCATTGGAAGCATGCCATATTACAGTAATGCAAGCGTAGATCAGAATACATATAAATACATATATCTATATTCATTTTTACAATGTTAACAAACTCAATCGGTCGTCTTAGTTAACAGCCCAACTGTTAATATTTGAAAATTGCCATTTTGCCCTCCATCATCAATTTGAACTCAGACAAAAACATGGAGTAAATTTACTTAGACGACCCGTGGACAAGGTTAAGACTTAAGATACATTGAAAAAGTGCCAAAAAAAGGTAAAAATATTACTTTTTGTACCATATCCAAAAAAATCATCATAACACAAAGGCAGAAAGTATAATTTTCTCTTCGGTTCATCTCACTAAGAACCCATTGAAGTTACTTGATTGATCGCATTTTATTCCACTTTGAAAAAACTAATTCTAGAGATAACCAAGTAACTTGTATTATGTTGTCTCTACCCCAGCCTCATTTATAAAAAAAAAATGTCTCAATAAAAGGTTGAAGATGAATAGATGATGATGATTACCATGTATTTCGAAAGTATCAATTCCACAGCGGGTTAGATCCAACACCTCCAAATTTTCTAAAGCTGCGAATTTTGTATTATATATATAAAAGTAACGAAAGTGTCATGCATTTGTAGTAGTATGATTTAAAACATTAAGTATATATATACATATATATATATATATATATATATATATATATATATATATATATATATCCTTAAACTTAATGCAATTCATCAGTATGTTAGTAAAGTTCACACATAGAAATGCTATGGCGCAAATATCCTATAAGACCATTTTATAGTATCTCAATTCTCAAGTAGCAAGGTAAAACTAAAAGCAAAATTTCCTCATAGAAGTGTGTGTACCTTGAGCTCGAAATGATCGAAATCGCCTATTTCCTTGAAGATCTAGGGCTTTAAGTGATGGCAGAACACTCAAAGATGCTATAAGGCTGTTATTGAAATCATTGTATGCCAGATTTAAAATCTTCAACTTTCTTAATATAGAAACCCTCTTGAAACCTTTGTCTAGGATCCAATTTACCATTAAAAAGATGACTGTATTTGTGTGATGGTTTTAAGATAAAATTGAATATTCACTACCATCTATTTGGAATGTTCCAGTAAAGAGGCAGTTTGTTAGATCCAACATTTCCAGGTTTTCTAAAGCTGCAAATTCTGCAATATATATAAAAGGGATGAGAACATCTTCTGAACTTGCATCCTGGATGATAACTAAAATGCGTGGAAGGAACACTATATAACTTTCCATTAGCAGGGAAGTATCCACCCAATTTAGTGTAACTCAGATCCAAAATTTTGAGTGAAGTGAGTGCACCCAATGATGGAATGATGCCATTGTCAATATCAAAATTCCTGCTGAGGTCTAGCAGCTCCAGTTTCTTCAAACTTGACAACCTTTCGAGTTCTACAATATAAAAAAGGTTTAAACACCTGTATCCTGTTCTTTAGTTACTAAAGGATTAACTTTTGGGCACAGTTACTATATAATAACAAACTGAAGTAAATCTTATGTGTTCATGCGTCTTTATCGTTACAAATATAATACCCAACCCCTAAGCTTCTTTGAGCCCAAAAATTAATTGGATGATGTTGTTCTCTTGAATTTAAATTTACTCATATGTGTTGATTAAACATATAATATCAATTTCAAAGAAACATATATTTTCACGTAAGACAGTGTACCTGTATTCATAACTCCACCATCAAGAAAATTACGCGACAAATTGAGACTTCTTAGCTCTTTAAAATGAAGAAAGAGGGAAACATTTAATGGCCAAAATTTTTTATCTACATATGATCTTCCGTTCAGTGTGCCCAAAGAAATATGTGTGACATGGTGTGTGGTTGTGTTGCATTTGACCCTCTCCCAATCACAACACCCACTGCCACTAGCATCACCCACAAGGGTATTGCCATAATCCATCCAAGAGGGGAGAAGATCTTCTGGTTTCAAATCATATGTATTAATAAGGGAGAATTTGATGTCTAGTAGTGCCCTTCTCTCCTCTTCTCTGCAACCCCCTGCAGTTGGTGGGAACATCACAATAACAACCATTATCAATATCCACCAACTATGCAATGGACAACACTTCATTTTAGTAGTAGCTATGATACACATACTAACATTAATGGTTTCTTAGAGACAATCAAATAATGAATAATTTTTTTATAGAAGCAAATAATGCATAATTGGAGTTACCACATATTTGGGTAGATATAGTGAGGCATACAAGCCACTAATGATGGAGTTAGGCAGACACAGTCCAACTCAGCTACAACATTAATTATTTTCTGTTGAACAAGTCTTAATTATTTTCTGTTGAACAAGTCTTAAAGTCAGAAAGTCATTAGTCATTAGTCATAAGTCATGGGTTATAAGTCTTAAGAGTAGGTAGGGATGACAATCACTTGAATACTTATTATAGCTTACAAAATCTTGACTTTTAGACAATTTCTCAGTTTCTGTTTGCTTCAGGTGTATAATTACAATATGTTTACGGCTTATGTAGACAAAAAATTTATCAACTGAATCTTTTTTAGTTCTGTACTAATTTATTAATAGAAATTAGGGAAAATGTCACTGAATAGTAATCAATTTTGATATTCATCTACATATATCGAACTCTTTTTTTTATCATTTTTGTAAAAATGGGTAACTTTTATCTTGTTACCTGTTGTTGGGCCAATGACATGGTCGATACTGTTCCTGATGATGTGGCAAGTCTAAAATTTTCCATTATAGTGAACTTTGTCACATTGTCAGTTGTACTACGATGGACTTCAATAATGTTATATAGAATCTAAAATAGCTGATCTAACAAACCTATTCTAATTCCTTCTACAACAGTTTTTAATTCATCCACTAAGTACATAAACTTCCAACACGAAATCGATGTTATGGTATGTCGATAACATACTAGCATGAATTCAGCATTAGGAAATAAGAACACGATTGATTGATATTTGATCGACTGCTTACACAAATCAAAGAACGAAGTGCAATGTGCGCATGAAACAATACGGATTGAAACAGTGAGAAGGATCGACAGATACTTTGGGGAGAAAGAGCGAAATAGAGCAGGAGAAAAAATGTCTGGTGAATTTTGGGTTTTGGTTTGGAAGGTAGATGGTAAAAGTAAAATCAACATTTGTATAAATAAATGGAACGATGATAAATATTAAATGGTTACACTGTTAAAGAGATCTGGGTAGCGTGTAAATGGACCCATTTACTAAAGCCCATTTTTATTAGTTAGCCTAAGGTCCGATTCTTAACATCCATGAATCATGGTCCACCCAGATCCTTTTTTCTTACATTTTCGAAGACTATCAGTTTCCCGCTATCCGTTTCCAGCTAATATCTATTTTTATCAAACACGCCCATGATAATATGGTATGTGACATTGTTGCTATTACGAGTTGTGCTTTACCTATTAATTTTCATAAATAAATAACTTTACTACAACTTAATTCCATCCATATATACAATCAAATTTTTATAATTGTTTACCTCTTCTTCATAGAATATCATCTTGAGCATATATTATAGACTCAATGGTCATGTGTGTAAAAAAAAACATGAGTGACTACCTATGTATACTTAAAAAAATTTACACTTTTTGCCCAAAAAAATACAAAATATGTTGTTATTTCTTTACTTATGAGAGCAAATTACGTATACAAAGTACATAGAATGATCTTTATTCAAAGTACTCATGCATTAATCTTTTCAAGTTTTACTTTTATATAACTTTATAAAACATTTACTAATTTTTATTACACGATCATATTTTTAGTTCAGAAATAGAGTTAAGGAAAGATATCTAATTCAATCACATTTTTAATTGTAGGAAAAGATTTACAGATTAATATCTTATATGATCAATTTGAAAGATGTCTGGTGAGTTCATGTTCATAATCAATAAAGTATTCATGAAGTATTTCATGTGATATATAAGTATATGCAATTAGAACTATATTTAAGGATTCACTAAACTATAATATTTGATGTATAATAATAATTCTTATGTTCTCTCGAACCAACTAAACCAAAAAAGTTGGTTATCAATGTATTTGGTAGCTAACATATTTGATTGATAGTGTCATACCAGTTTAGTGAATTTGATATGGTAATGGTATCAAATTTAAAATAACACGGTAATATCATACCAATCAATTCATATATATAAACACACATACGAAATCATATTTTAAGTTGTCACATATGTTTATTCTTTACAGTTTTAAAAAAATGATAATAGATATTAGACGGAGTCATAAATTATAACGACAAAACTGCAAAATGGTCCATGTAGTTTTTATTTTGTGTGGTTATGATCCAAACCTTTGAAAAGCTGTAGATTTGGTCATTTTCAATGAGTTTTGTTGTGGTTTTGGTCCCTCTTCCATTAACTTTAACAGCTTGGCTGTTAACTTTTTTAAAATAACTATTTTATCCTCAGTGATTATTTCTGCAACCAAACTACAATGATCATTTATATATATCTTCTTTTTAGTTTATTGAATTATTATATATTAATAAATGTTATTTTTAATATATACTATTTATATATTAATAAATATTGTTTTATTAGATTATTAATTTTTTTAATTAATTTTTTTTTTAATTTCTTTGTTATTAGATATTTTCATTGGGCTATATGAATAAATATTATTTTTAATATATAATATTTATATATTAATAATTATTATTATATTGGATTATTAATTTACTGTAGTTAATTTTTTTTATTAGAGTAATTCTTTTTATTAGATTACTATAAATTAATAAATATTATTTTTAATTTATAATATTTATATCCTAATTAATATGTAGCACCCGAGTCGTCACATATGAAATTAATCTATTACTATACTTATTTAAATTAAAGGGTGGTGAAGGGTTCGTGAGTACGTTGAGTGTACATTAGGTACGCACGGCATACTCCGTGCATGCACATCATTGGGGTGATCCTGGCGTACCCTGGGTGTACCCATGCGTATGCTGGCATACTCAAGCCGGTTTATGACGTGCTTCCTGGCGTGGGCCAAGAGAAGGATCCTCGGGCCGGAGGATTCTCCAGTTAGCTTAGCCATGCCCAACATGGTCACTCTTGCAGGACCCTAGCACCCGGGCATTTCCTCAGGGTGAGGCACCCGCACAGAAGGTTCGGCCTCGTCAAGAGCACTCTTCGCTACATGACAAATACAACAGCTACAGGTGACAAAGAGTATGCTCAAAGCATTATCGCCTGATCCAATCGTTGGCCCCAATACAATAGGGGAAACGATTGGCCAATCAGAGTAATGGATCATGTCGGAACTACAGTTTATGTCCCCTGTACGGACCAATGAGGATCCTCTGTATAAAAGGATCTCCATCTTGCCTTAAGAAGTAAGTGATCTCTCTGAGTTCTTATCAATCTTACCCATATATCTCCCACTGATTTGATCGTCGGAGTGTTTTCCCGGGACCTCCTCCCGGAGAACGGCTGGTGGCCTTGCTTTTTGTGACTTGCAAAGCCCTCCGATGAAGGACTTCATCCTTAGTGTCAGTGGTCGGAGAAAAGGTCGCATCACCTGTTGAAATAGACCGAAGGGGATTGCAAGCATCCAGATATGCTTGACAATATCCGATTGAAATAAACCGAAGGGGATTCCAAGCACCCAAATATGATTGACAGTATCCAGTTGAAATAGACCGAAGGGGATTGCAAGCACCAAAATATGTTTGGCTATATGTTTGTATGGTATGTGGTATTTTTGGGAAACTCGCTAAGCTTTGTGTTTACAGTTTTCAATTTATGTTTCAGGTACTTCCAACTCGAAAGGGAATTGTCCGAAGTGGTCGCACCGCATCACCCTGTGGGAAAAAATGAAGGTTTTTCCGAAAAAAAAAAAGTTGTTTAAAAAGGAAAGATTATTGATAAATTTGCTAAAAAAAATTCAAGAAAAAAAAAAACTCAAAATATATAACCCTTTATTATATTAAGTGATATAATATTCACATTTGTTGCATGATTTATTAATTTCACTTTATGAGGAAGATTATAATCATGCTATAATTATATTGATTTGCTTTATAGAGGATTCCGGATAGTGAGGGAACTCGTTCAATAGGAAAATTGAGCAAGTTGAGGGGATTGTCTAATGGAAAATTCTTTGGAATGGTTTAAAGGTAGTTTAGCACGAAACATTTGTGAGCATTTAGCTGCTTTTAGTTTCTAATTTTTTACTAAACGCTCCGTTTTAAATAAAAAAAATTTAATTTGACACTACAAGTTTTTAACGTTTAGTTTAACAAAATGTTCAAAATCTAAAAACTATCGCACGTAACTTTTAATAAAACGTTGTCGGTTACCCGCTATCAGCTATCAACTTTCTTGGGATCAACTATCAACTTCATGGTAATTGTTACCCGCTACCAACTAGTTTTGTTGCGACCAGATATCAGCTTCATGGTAATTGCCTTCCTTCAACGGTTACCCGCTACCAACTAGTTTTGTCAAACACGCCCTAAAACGAATTAACATTTTTTATTTTATATATATATATATATATATATATATATATATATATATATATATATATATATATATATATATAGCTAGGATATAATGTGGATAAACAACTATTGTGCGGACGTGTGAACAATGTTATTCTATGAGAATTACTAAGAAAATAGGTTGTTTGCGAGTGTGAATACGTTCAACCTCATTCAACTATCGTCATTTTCATTCATTCTCACTAATTCTTATTCATTTTTGTTCTCACATATTGTTTTTTACTCATTTTCATTCTTACAGAATACGGCTATATATATATATATATATATATATATATATATATATATATAATTCTTGGACGATTATTTTTTTTATTTTATTGGAGACTATCTAATTTAATTGTATTATAATCAGTGGGTTGTTTTATTTGTTTTGTGTTTATTGTAGGATAAAGACTTGGATTGGAGTACCATCGTAGTGTGTATCATCTACTCTAATAAATGAAAATGACTTTGCCACATGTCATTCTCTCATAAGATTAGCCACATGTCATTTTGTCATAATTTGAGATATATCTATTTTCCATTTGTCATTACTTTAATTTTCATTTTCAATATATCATTAATTTACTTTCCATAAATTAAACCTACCATAATTACTATCA